ACCTTTAATGTTTTTCAACAAGGACAACTTCTAGAAAGTGTCATTTCCTTTCAAACATTCCAAGTGCTACCCGGTCCCAGCACTTTTTATGCAGAGCTCTAAAGAGGAGAAACAATTACAAGCTTCTGCTTAAAAAAGTGATAGCACAATGTGATTCAAAGTTACACACTGAGAGTTACGTATCCAAAGAGTTTTCACAAGCTCTCAGATCTAAAAATAAGTATTGTAGGAAGACTGAACGGCATTTGATCCAATATTCATAAGCATAAAATGAACTGCCTCTGCAATGTAACTGCTTACTGCTCAGTTAAACAAAAATCTCAACAGAAGAATCTCCAGGTTCGGAGCTAAATAATGAGAAGTTTAAAAAATACTATTGGGCTTCGTTCAATATGGCATTAACCTAACAGTGCAAGAAGGCACATGGAGGGGGAAAGGCTCCAAACAGTGCGACTGATGTCATGTCAAACCAGGAAGCCCAAAGGGAAGAGAACTAAATGGCTTTAATGAAATTGCATTCTACCTTTCCCCCAAATGAATCTTTGCTCATTTCCTGCAAAACAAATGGAAAGTAAATCTGGATTAAAGTAGGATTTCATTGCTCAAATTTCCTATCAGCTCAACATATGAAAGAAGGTTTTGGTTAGTGTTACAGGGAACTAGAAGCATCGCATACACCACACATTTATCTTAGGTGAAATCTCCTTAGATGCTCTGTCTCTATTTGTCTTGACTCCTGTAGCTTAATTATTTACTGTAATTCTAGCATTTGGCATAGAACCTAAATCTAACCAGGTGTCATCCAATTACTGCTTTCAATTTTTAACTAAAATTCTATTGTTTGTCCCATTTTTCACTTTAGCTGATTACCTTGCAAATTCCTGACATGCTTTGCTGAACAGAATACCGAAAAAGAGTAAATTATTAAGAAAATTCAGGAGATGTACTAAAAGAGGGCTACTCATTAAAAAGAACTATACAAAAAACGACTTCAGTGCCCAGAAATACCACTCAGCAATTAAAATATGAGAATATTACAATGTGTTTCACTGATAGGTACTTTTAAATTGTTAGCCCTCAGGAAATAAACTAGTTCAGAGCCAGGCAGATGGGTACTCAGTGGGATTTTTGCTCTTGATTCGTCGTGAGTACATCTCCAAGAGAAACCAATGAAGTTATACTACTGCAGGATTATGAACACTGCAGCCCATAGGTCATGCACGATACCTATTAAATTGTACATCAGAATTGCATTGCTCTATTCATTTTCTTTGCCATCCTTTCTCTCTTCTCATTACTCCCAAATCCTAAGTTCCCAAGGAAAGTCTCACTCAAGGTCTTCAAACACCAGGTCTTGGCAGGGGCATAGTCTAACAGACAGGCTTCTCTGTCATTTAAACGTGCGCAACGCTGTACAGCGAGTGTGAATACTGACTCTGGCCTGTCGCCTACAGCAACATCACTGTGCATCATTCTACAGACAGACTAAAAACACTTGAGTGAAGGCAACGTCTAAAAATCACTAAATTATTAATGTGGAGATTGAACTACTACAATGCTTGACAGAAATGCATGTTTCTCCATGCTATTCTGGAAAGAGCTGCTGTAGCTGTTCTCTACTTGGTCTTGTATCTATTAATTACTGGCCTCGCTTCATGCAAATGTTCGTTGTGATTTCTGAGATATCATATCATATAGATTCATTCTTACAATAGCCTGCATTCTCAGACTAATAAGACACCTTATAATGGTAATAATTTTTAGTCAAATTGGCCTGGAAAGCATTTAAGCTGAAGATTTATCACTGCAGAGATTTAGGATGTAAATCAAATTTGCTGCACTAACTTTTGTGTTACAGCAAAATTTCTGCACAAAACACATTTTACCCAGATGCACTCAGAATACACAACCAGCGTTCCTAAAGCAAGTATTTTAAAATAGAAGTCTTCCAACTTGGAGATCAAAAACAGAAACCTTAAAAAAAAAGTCAATAAGCTATGAGTTACAGAAAAGAGGAGCAAAAAGTATTAGAAATCAACCTAGCTGTGATCTTCTGGCCTCTTAACTCAATATAGAATGCAAAAATGTCAAAAAATTAGTGTGTATGTGTATGTATGTATATATGTGTGTGTGTGTGTATACATACATATACATATATATATGAGAAAGGCCATTAATGGAGACACTTGCAATTCCAGCTACGTTTCCCAGAATTTGAAAGTTTAGGCAAATATATGATTGTCAGCCTGGCTAAGCAATCACTGATCTTTCATAATACACAACAGGGTGAATCTGTCAGCTTTGATTCCAGACATGAAGTGTGCTAAAGGACACCAAAGTCCTTTGGACACTAAAGGAAGACACCAAAAAGAAATCTAAACTATAATAGATTGGTGAAGAACATTCTTCTTTGTGTCTAGAAAGAAGAGTTCTTTTTTATAAAGGAAAAACAGGTTTCCATGAATTATTTATGTATGGTTTTATATGTACGAATGATTTCATAAAGAAACCAACCTAACAGTTCCTCTAGTGCTGAACCTTTAAGAACAGAAGAAAAAAAAAATCCAACACTCCCAGGCACTAAATCCTCACCAAAAAAAGTACAGCAGGCCTTCCATGTTAGATAAGGTGAGGCCAGAACAGATACTACGTGGAATACTGCATGAGCATGTAGACCTGGCATGCTTTGCAGGAACACTAAAGAACTCATTGTTCAAACACGAATTTGCCCCAGTGATCTCATTTGCCCTCTGCAAAACTGCTGAGGGTACAACATCCATCCAGTGTCTCCAGTTTGTGACCATGAGCGTGAAGCACTTTGAGATTCCTCAGAACAAACATTAACATTAGTCTCGTGATGCTCCTTCTTGACGTTACCTTCCCTTGGGTAGCCGTCTTTAGATTCCAGCTGCAATTCTTTCTGGTAACAGTTACACCACAGGTAACAAATCTTATAGAGTAAAGGTTGCAGAAACAGGCCCTGCACCACTTGCAATTACAAGGGGCAGTATTTTTCTTCAGTTTATAAATGGTATGCTTAATTCCAGTAAATCCAGAATTAGATCAATCAAAGAATTATGATGCTATCATTTGAGCAAGTGCTCAGGTGAATAAACTACTTCCAAAAACAGCCAGCCTATTCTGGGAACACTCAGGGATTACCAGCAGAAACATTCAAAAACATCAAGGAAGCACCTTTGAAAATACTGAGGATTAGGCAAGACAATATGATTCTCAACATTTTACTTCTGAGCCTTGGAATTGCTTTCATGACTCTCAACATTTTTTTTGTAATGAGAGGCTGACATGATCTCGACACTCAAGGAGCTACCAAATATTTCACAATAATAATCACAGGGTGGCCAAGATTCCAAAGATTTTAGTAGTATCAATTACCCGTTACTAAAACTATATTGTTTCATTTGCACAGTTATTCTACTCGGGGGGAGTGGGGAACAACCAAAGTGAAAAAATTCTGTACTTCCACTGCCTGTGGATGCTAGTTCAAAGCTTCCCTCTTGCTTAACCCATCATGTCATTTACCAGGCATGTCCTCAACAGTCAAAAGTGGCTGTAGAGCAAAGAAATAAACTTTTAAATCACCACTGTAGCTTCCATTCTATCCAATGTAAAATAATAGTGCATAGGATTAGCTCTGCCCAGTGTGACCTCCTTGGCTAGAGCTTTTGCAGGCCTCCTGCTGCACATTAG